TAATCGGACAGGATTTGCTTAATTTTGTGCTCAAATCCACGGAATCTCTGCATAATGTCATAAATAAGGCAAAGCTTTCGACGCAAACAACTCATAGAAAAAGGAAATCTTCGCTCAAAAGGAAACAAATTTTTAAAACGAAATCATCTAAAAAGAGGAACCAATTTAAGGTTTGTATTCTATTGGCTTTATATTTTGCACCAAGGTTATTATGCTATCATTTAGTGCTTTTACTTATATTTTAATACAAAATAAATTCTTATTGTATAAATAATACTAAATTTAAATGCAACTTATATCCTAAATTAAGATTTCATACTACAATATATGAATTAATTGCAATTCTTGTATATACAGTATTATAAGATGCTTTAGCTTTATTACAGTAATATAAATATGGTTATATGCTACAGTATTAATAATACAGTACAATACTCTACTTTATAAATTAATTATTATATTAATAGCCACAGTCCGAAGTTGATATACAGCTTAAACTGTAAGATTAATTTAATGAATGAGTTTATAATAGCAATCCCTTCCCCCAACTCACCCCCAATATCCATAATTCTGTGTTTTATTAAACTTCATATAAATTACACACCACTCGACAGTTCAGTGAGTTATGGGATTCACATTTGGATGCTTACTGTATCATACAAAAAGGGGTTTGGGTTTCAATGGGCTAATTTGGCACAGAATAGTGGTGCCTATCATTATTATGCTAATCTGTTTGGCAGAGAAATTGTATTTATAAATGATTATTATTTCGATAATAAAAATATTCTTTTATTGTTTGACTAAAGAATGAATCAAACGATAAGACCTCGTCTTCATATAAAATGGACAATAATTTCGAGGCAAACAAATCAGTCGTGAGTTTGAGCGATGACTCAACGAAACTGGATTTGGATTATGAATTAGACCTGAGTTTGAGTTCATGTGAAGAGTTATATGAGATCCCAATGGAAGACCTGCTGTCGTCCCCCTCTTGGAAACAAATAGTCGAACAAAACTCTTTTCTTTGGCCATAATTTGTTTGGTTTTAACGTAAAACAACAACTTTTAGAAGTGAGACAAATATCATATTCAATAAGTAATATACTAAACATAACTTATAATTGAATAAATCATAAACCTGTCAATATTTGATAATAAAAATACTCTCATCAAAGATTCTGTATGTTATTAATGTATCACCCTCGGACATAAAAATTGCAGTGAAATGTAATGCTAAAAATTATAACTTATAATAACAATAGGTCTGAAAAATTTATATCATATTAAAGCCTAGTTATCTGACTGTAAACCAAAACAAAAATTATTTCATTTGAATTGATTGTCTATAAATAATGACTGAT